GCCTTCCATATTCAGCAAGAGCTTCCAAGTCTGGGTCAAAGATCAGCTCTTTGACCATTTCTGACCATGGCTAAGAAATAGGAAGGAAGAGGGATTGGAGAAGTGGAGCTGGTGGTAGGGGCTGGCGCCTCCCAGGTTGAGGCCTGGGTTCAATTCCCAGCACCAAAAGGAAAGAAAAAGGACGCAGGAGAGAAAGTGAGCGCATCCTCGATTCTTTCATGAGTAAGACTATAAAGTGGCACACAGGGCTTCCCCTCACATGCCCTTGGTCCCAGGGCCACATAAACAGTCAAGGGAAGCTAAGCACTGGCTGGCTGGCCACGTCTCTAAGCTAAAAGCGAGAAGAGGGAAATGGCTACAGATAGACAGTTACTAATCTTTTCCAGAGATGGACCAATGGAAGCCCAAATTTTTTATGAGAATTCTAAAGAAGACTAAGAGGAAGTCTGCGGCCCATTGTAGGTACATGAGGCAATTATGCAGCAGGTGCAAAGTACAAGGTTAGGTTACATGGTTAGGTTACGTGGCTTTTTTTCCATCTGTTTTTTCCTTCAGGAACTAGGTGTACAGAGTTGGATTACTCATCATCCCAGGTCATAAAAAGCAGTCATCATTGGTACATGTATGGCTCACTTTTATTCTTTTTTCTTTCTGGTACGGGGATTGAACTCAGGGGAGCTTCACCACTGAGCCACATCCTCAGCCCTTTTTACATTTTATTTAGAGACAGGGTCTCACTAAGTTGCTCAGGGCCCCGCTTAGTTGCTGAGGCTGGCTTTGAACTCATGATCCTCCTGCCTCAGCCTCCCCAGCTGCTGGGATTACAGGTGTGCATCTCCATGGCCAGCACTTTTATTCTTTTATTTAATAATTTGTGTCTTTAAACTATGATGAGACTTGAGAATCCCTTACAGTTATCTTTACATCCTGTCCTATCCCTGATTCTTACACTTCAGAGGTCTTTATTATTCTCTCACTCTTTTATTTTGTTTTGTTTTCAGTTCCTGGGATTGAACCAGGGGTGCTCTAACACTGAGTCACTTTTTATTTTATTTTAAGGCAGAGTCTCACTAAGTTGCCCAGGCTGCTAGACCTTGAGATCCTCCTGCCTCAGCCTCCTGAGTTCCTGGGATTACAGGCAGACGTTACCTTATCTGGTTTGCTTTTTAAATAAAGTTTTATCCACATATATATGTATGGCTAAATAACATATTATCTCATTTTAGTTGTTTTCGAATTTTGTGAAAAGGTTATCATCATACTATGGCCCTTAAACTCTAAAAATATTTTTTTCTGGGGTTGGGGAGATAGCACAGTTGGTACAGTGCTTGCCTCACATGCACAAGGTCCTGGGATCAATTCCCAGCACAAATAAATAAATTATTTATTTATTTTTTCTGGTTACAGAATCCTGGGTTGGCAGTTGTTTTCTTTTACCATGATTAAAATATAAATCCAGGCTGGGAGTGTAGCTCGTGATAAAGTGCATACTAAGCATACATGAAGCCCTGAATTCAATCTGCAGCACATTAAAAAATATATTTTAAAAAATCAATATATTTACATATATATATTTTTTTAAATTCTATTTTTAATTTTTTAGTTGTAGATAGACACAATACTTTTATTTTGTTTCTTTATTTTTACAAGGAGCTGAGGATCGAACTCAGTGCCTTGCACATACGTATTAGGCAAGTGCTCTACTGCTAAGCCACAACCCCAACCCCTATATTTATATATTGATACACACACACACACACACACAAACACACACACACAAACACACACACACACATATCCATTTGATTTGGGTTTCCTTTGATTCCTTTTGAATTAAAAACCCTGGATCCTTTTGAGATTTCTTTTCTTTCTTTCCTTCCTTTTTTATTTTTTTATTTTTATTTTTTTTGTAGTGCTGGGAATTGAATCCAGGGCCTTGCACATGCTGGATGCTCACTGTTTCACCTAGCTACACCTCAACCCTTGCTAGATCATTTTCTATGGTTTCCTACCTCTATATAGATTTTCAACTTTACCTTTTATTTACTTAAATATAGTAATCAAAGGAAATCCTGACACATGCTATGGCATAGATAAATCTTTTATTTTTTAAAAAAAATTTTAGTTATAGATGGACACAATACCTTTTCATTTTATTTTTATGTGGCGCTGAGCATCGAACCCAGAGCCTCACATTTGCTATGCAAATGCTCAACCACTGAGCTACAAGCCCAGCCCCCATAGATAAATCTTAAGGTTATTATATCAATTGAAACAATCTAGTTGCAAAAGAACAAATACCATGTGACTTTGCTTATATAGATTTCTAGAGAAAGTTGAATGGTGGTTTCCAGGAGCTGGGGGAGAAAAAAAAATGGGAATATCTTAAGAGGTATAGAGTTTATTTTAGAAGATGAACAAGTTCTAGAGATTGTTTGTATGACAGTATTAACTATAAACTATAAACACGACTGAATTGTATGCTTAAAATGGGTAGGATGGCCGCTGGGCATGGTGGCACACACCTGCAATCCTGGCTACTCCGGAAACTGAGGCAGGAGGATCACAAATTTGAGGCTAACCTGGGTAATATAGCAAGACCCTGTCTAAATCAATCACTCAATAAAATTAAAAATAATTCTTAAAAATGGCTATAGTGGCAATTATACCATAATGCAAATAAAATAAAAATAATATCAGAATTGTTTTATAATCTGTATTTATTGTAGTTCTGTTGCTGCTATATGGTATTTCATCTGGTTCTCACAGCGCCTTGTTCTTATGTGCTTGGTTATTTTTTTTTTTTTACCATGTTCTGGTCATTATCCCTGAAAAATTGCTAATGGTGACTTTGGGATGAGGACCAGCATAAGAGGTGCCATCCTCCAGGGAGGATTTGAGTTTGCTTCTGCCAGGCACTTAGAGACACTTCTAGTTCAAGACAACTGTAAATGAGATTTATGAATGAAAGGGTTTTTTAAAAAAAACTTTACATAACTTGGTTATAAATACACATGCACTTACAAACTGGTTATGGTTACAAAGTCTCAAGAAGAACTTTTCCCTTGTCTGCTCAGTGTGTACTGTGAACTTAGAGTCTCCCGGGAGAAAGATGTAGGGGGCAAGTTTACTTTTGATTTACTGGTACCCTTTGGAGGACCATGGCTAATGTGAGGGAAGACCTCTCAACAGATGTGCCGCCTGGGTGGAGCCTGTTCATTCCTTTTACATTTGCCAGTCGTGGAGGCACAGGCCTATAATCCCAGCAACTCTGGAGGCTGAGTCAGGAGGACTCAAAGCCAGTCTCAGCAATTTAGTAAAAAGGCTGGGTCATGGCTCAGTGGTTTGCCCCTGGGTTTAATCCCTGGTACAAAAGAAAAAAAAGGTAAAAGAAATTTACGTTTGCCCAAACTGGCAAATACCCTCAAAGCAAAATACCCTGTTTTGCTTGCTGAAGTCCTAAACCTGATCAGCACTTCTGTGCTTTTAAAATATTTAAAAACTATTTCAGGACTGTAGTTGTAGCTCAGTGGTAGAGTGCTTGCCTAGAAAGCTAGAGGCCCTGGCACTGCAACAAAACAACAACAACAACAACAACAACAACAAAAAAACACCTATCTTTTTTAGTTGTTTTTAGCCTCAAGTTGCCCTATTAAATAATCTAGCCCATGAGAGGTCCTTCTACTTTATCTCCTGTTTCATTGATGCCTGCTCTTTCTGTTTATTTTCTTTCTCCTACTTTTTGATTGTTCTTATTTTTTTTATTTTTTAGTTGTAGTTGGATACAGTATCTTTATTTTATTTTTGTATGTGGTGCTGAGGATCCAACCCAGGGCCTCGCAAGTGCTAGGAGAGCACTC